GAGCAGAGGAGCGCAGACATCTAAAGTCATTAACGTGAGCGCTTTAATGGCTTTAAATAGGTGTCAAAACGCGGTGTTTAGTCATTATTTATATTAACCATCATTTGTGTAATAAACAAAGGAGTTGAGAATCAAAAGACACGTGAAAGAGAAACCAAAGAGACAGCGAGAAATATTCTTACTGCCGCCTGTTTTTAAGATTATTAATCAAACAACAAGAAAATCCCTCACTAGTCTTGACTGAAGGACTGCTGTAGCTAAAGTGTTTTTCTTACAGTGAAGATGCTTAAAGCACAGTTTGTTTCATATTTTTATTTTATTGTATTTATTTCTCTTTCCTTTGCAGGGTGGAAAATAACTGTATGTATACAGTTGAAGTCAGAATTATTTGCCCTCCTGAATATTAGCAACCCTTTTCCTCCCAATTTCTGTTTCATGGAAAGTTGTTTTTTTTTTTTACTTATTTCTGAACATGATCGTTTTAATATCTCATTTCTAATAACTGATTTCTTTTATCTTTGCTATGATGACAGTACATAATATTTTACTAGATATTTTTTTAAATACAAGCATTCAGATTAAAGTGCAATTCAAAGGCTTAATTAGGGTAATAAGGCAAGTCATTGTATAACAGTAGTTTCTTCTGCAGACAATCAAAAATATATATTGCTTAAGGGGGCTAATAATATTGACCTTAAATTAAATATTTAAACCTGCTTTTATTTTAGCTAAAACAAAATAAATAAGCCTAGAAGAAAAAATATTAGAGGAAATACTGTTAAAATTCCTTGTTCTGTTAAACATAATTTGGGAAATCTTTATATAAAAAAAATTCTCAGGAGAGCTAATCATTTTGACTTTAACTGATAATCATTTTGAATAATCGTGATTACAACTATGACCAAAATAATCGTGATTATGAGTACCAAATATATATATATATATATATATATATATATATATATATATATATATATATATATATATATATATATATCAAAACTCCAACATAATAGTAAAAATAATTAAATCAAATAACTTTAAATAATTATTTAAATTTTGCTCACTCATGCAATGTGCTTGTCAATGTGTCGTAAAGGCAAAATCAAAACAAAATTGGGAGAGAAACGTAAATGCAGTGATTCTTCAGAGGCGAAGAAAAAAATTAAACAGTATGACAAAGCCCACCTAAATTTTGGTTTAATTGAAGGCCAAGACAAGTTAAAACTGATTTATTTATATTTTCTATACATATTATATATTAATATTACACAAACACACACATACAGTATATAAATAAATAAATATATATAAATATATATAAATATATATATATATATATATATATATATATATATATATATATATATATACACACACACACACACACACACACACACACACACATATACACACACACATATATATATATATATACATATATATATATATATATATATATATATATATAGTACATATGTGTGTGCGTGCGTGCGTGTGTATTTAAATGGTGGGGGGGCTCCAATGTTTGTATATGTTCCTGGGGGGGGGCCCTAAGAAAAAGGTTGGGAACCACTGCCATAGAGTACTTGTAAACCACAGTAAGTTTTGTTTTGTTTTTTGTTTTCTACCTGTGTTTTTTTGTATATTTCATTAATATGTTATTTAGGGTAGACAGTAAATCCTGAAAACCTTCTTCACAGGATTTATTTTCAATAATAGATTCACAATTTGTTTGCTTTATTTCATTTTCAACATTCAGTAGATCTTGTTTTGGAATAAATGCTATACACTCTTTACTTTTAATTGGATTTTGTAACCTATATCAGGTTTTTGTTAATTTTCTCGCTACAAGGGTTAGATTATGATCTGACAGTCCTGTAATTAGATTATATATTTTATTTATTCTTTCTGGTTTATTTGTAAAAATTAAATCTAACAGAGTTTGTGATGAGAATAATGTCAACACAGCTCACTAGGGTTGTAACAATATACCGGTATGACGGTTTACCACGATTTGAACGTGCACGATTATCATACCACGAACAATTGCATATCAACGGTTTTAACCCTTAAAGACCGAGACAGCCGCCCGCGGCTAAAAATAAGTATTGCTCTTAAATGTTTAATAACTTTTGATCCGCTGATCCGATTCATACAATTCAAAGATTGGCATAAAGAAGAGAATCTCAGCTTTCCAGTGCTGTATCACATAACATTCGCGGACTTTCAGAGGCTCCGGAATCAGTGCGGTTACGTCATCAACATTTGACAACGCTGATTTGACAAAGAAACGCTCGTCACTGTGTCTCCGGACAAATCAGACATGATACATTGATGCATTGTCCCTCCTCCATGCCCAGATTGGTTCAAACTCGCTATATCACAACCAATAAGCATAGGTTTCACTTTTGTTTGTGGACCAAGCTTTTTGAACAACACAGAATGAGAGATAGGCATACATTTATGCGCGGCTAAATAAAACGCAAAAAAAAAAAAGTTTTTCATGAAATAATTCTCATACTAAGTACTTTTGCATGCACAGCAGCACAGAAACATGACAAAACAGTGACACAGCAAAGACGAACTGCTGCTCTTGCTGTTTTCAAAAGACGCAAATGAAGATGCAGCTGTTTGTCTGCATTGCAGACAACCATATCCAAATCCTTATTGATAGACAACCATATCCATGCTAAAAATATATTATTTGGAAAAAGTCAAATTTGCTTCACTGTTCTATTATTTTGTAACATTTGTAACATACCGTATACCGTGAAACCGTCAAACCGTGGTATTGTTTTAGACGATTATCATACCGTGAAAAATTCATACCGTTACAACCCTACAGCTCACTATGAACACTGTTGACTTTTCTAACTTTATTAATGATTATTTTAGGTTCAAGAGGTATTGGTAAAGATTTGGACACCAGCAGAATTTGGCTGTTCGTAAAGCATACAGCACCACCTGCTGGTAAAAACTAAGCTCAGAATTCATTCATTCAAGAAAGAACAGCAATGCAGTTTGAAAACCTCAGAAAGGATGATTTCTTGAGGGATTTTTCAGAACGCTCTAGTCATTTTATTTTTCATATCTGACCTCTAAAGTACGGAACCCCGGAAGAGACGTAGTGGAGGAGAAAAAATTGGCCGGGTGAAAAAAAAAAAAAAATTTGTGAAAGAAAAAAATGGGAGGGAGAAAAATATATATTTCTAAGTTTTTGCATTTTCTCACAAAGTTTTGCGTTCCCTCGCAAAAATGTTTTGCGTTCTCTCGCAAAACTGTCTCCACAAACACTTCCTGTTCACTTCACTCACGTAAACCCTCCCATTTTTGCTGAAATTCTCCCGTATTTTACCATTCTACTTCACTTTCTTTACATTACTGTGCGTCGATCGTCGACTTTCATATGCAACCTCTGAACCAGTGAATGCATGTATAAGCGCTGACTGACAGACGCGCTCCGTACAATAAACTGATCCCAGATCAGCGTCTGTACACGCCATTTACAGAGGAGCGGGTGTATGTTTAAACAGACAAATACACTAATAATATGAAACATCTCCGTCCTGCATGTTTTATTTTAAACAGCTTATTTTCTCTTAAATGAGCACAAACAGTATCTAAAGTAATGGACTGCTTTCATTATAGATCTGTGCATTCTTACAGAGACACCTCTGTTGTCAAACTAAACAAAACATGAGATTCATTTGCTGCTCACTTGTTTGATAACAGAAGTGTCCCTTTAAATGGCGCGTACAGCCGCTGATCTGGGATCAGTTTATTGTACGAAGCGCGTCTGTCAGTCAGCGCCTATACATGCATTCACTTGTTCAGAGGTTGCAAAATGAAAGTCGACGATCGACGCACAGTAATGTAAAGAAAGTGACGTAGAATGGTAAAATACGGGAGAATTTCAGCAAAAATGGGAGGGTTTATGTAAGTGAAGTGAACAGGAAGTGTTTGTGGAGAAACAGTTTTGCGAGAGAACGCAAAACATCTTTGCGAGGGAACGCAAAACATCTTTGTGAGGGAACGCAAAACATCTTTGCGAGGGAACGCAAAACATCTTTGCGAGATAACGCAAAACTTTGCGAGGGAACGCAAAACATCTTTGCGAGGGAGCGCAAAACATCTTTGCGAGGGAACGCAAAACTTTGCGAGGGAACACAAAACATCTTTGCGAGGGAACGCAAGACATCTTTGCGAGATAACACAAAACTTTGCGAGGGAACGCAAAACATCTTTGCGAGGGAACGCAAAACTTTGCAAGGGAACGCAAAACATCTTTGCAAGATCTTTGCAAGATAACGCAAAACTTTGCGAGGGAACGCAAAACATCTTGGCGAGATAACGCAAAACTTTGCGAGGGAACGCAAAACATCTTCGCGAGATAACGCAAAACTTTGCGAGAAAACGCAAAAACTTAGAAATATATATTTTCCTCCCACCCATTTTTTTCTTTCGCCCATTTTTTTTTTTACCCAGCCAATTTTTTTCTCCTCCACTACGTCCCTTCCGGGGTTCTGTTCTAAAGCATTTCTGGTGGTGCCATTTTTTTAAAAATCAGATCTATTAAAACAAAATAGACACATCTTTTCTCCAGCATAAAAATAGATATTACCGCATTTCTAAAACCTGACAGTGGAATTACTGGAGCCTTTAAATACTAGTTTGAGATGTAACATTTGTTACACAGAACAGTAGTAAGGGGGAATTGGCTAGAGGGCCATTAGCTATGTTTACATCCAAAAATGGGAATTAAATATATGCGCAAAACTGGAATATCACATAAAATATTGAATAAAGCTGTTTCCATCTAATGAGTGAAAGAAAACAAAATCATCACTTCTTGATTGACTGGTGCTAAATATCAACAGCAAAACAGAATTGGCTGTGGTAGGAGAAGCTGCGTCAATCTTTTCATTCCTTTATTTTTATTTGCACATTTGGAAACTCTACATTGTATTAAAAAAATCAAAAAAGCGAGTTAAACCAACCTGTTTGTTCCTGCAGATCTTCATGTTTGACAGTGAATGTTTCTTCAATCTTCACATCTTCACTCTCCTCTTTAATAAACACCATCTTTATAACAGTGTGGAGATCAGTCGCTTCAGCAGGAGTTTTTCTGTCTGTTTAAGAGAATAATCAACAATAAAGAAGACGAATGCAAACTAAATCTGTTTCTTAGGAAAACCACATAAAAACATACGATACATTATTAGTCAAAACTATAGTTTTTGAGCCATTTTATTCTATACTATAGTATTAACTATTGTGAACTGATAAACTGTAATAAATACTGTAGTATATTTAATTTTTTACTATGATAAACTTTGTAATGCACTCTACGAACAACCACCTTTAAAATAAATTGACAGTAATTTGCTGTAAATTGAAACATTTTTCTGTTTCTCGGTCACGCCCACACAGACCTGCACCGTCACAATCTCATTTGAATACCGAATCGATTCAGAATCGAGAACTCTGCTTTTGAAACTGTTCATATGACAAAACAGTTTATTAGTCCTACACCAGTGCAAGTGTGTGAACAGACACACAAATATTAATGACCTCCAAAATTCATCTGAATGTTTGTATCTTTCAATTGAACTGTAAATTTGGATACTTGCGTTGTATTAAAAAAATCAAATGACTTCGAGCTGATCGTTGAGAATGAAAATCAACCTGTTTGTTCCTCTGGATCTTCATGTTTGACTGTGAATGTTTCTTCAGTCTTCACATCTTCACTCTCCTCTTTAATAAACGCCATCTTTATAACAGTGTGGAGATCAGTCGCTTCCGCAGGAGTTTTTCTCTGCGTTTAAGAGGAGAATAATCAACAGAAAGAAAACGAAATACAAACTAAAATGAAAACCACTTGAAAAAAAAAATACTACACGTTATATTAATAGTCAATACTAGAGTTTTTGAAGCATAGTAGATGTTTTATTCTATTCCAGTGGTTCTCAAACTGTGGTACATGTACCACAAGTGGTATGCAGGCTTCCTAATAGTGGTAGGCGGAGGAATCGCTTAATAATTCAAGCTAAAAAATGAACACACTTTTAACCCCTTTTTAACCCCTGACGCGTACAATAACAACGATGTGATCAGTAAATTGATTTAAATAGGCAAAACTTTTTATTTTAATTTAATTTTTCTAATGTTTGTTATGTATTCTATCATTTGAGGTTATTTTCCTCCCCATACTTTAACAGTTGTTGTATCTCGTGTTTTTTATAGAAACTAGATCTGCTTACTGCATGTTAGAGTAGGCTATCCCTGCTGAAAAATCCAGCTTAAACCAGCCTAGGCTACTCTAACATGCAGTAAGCAGATCTAGTTTCTAATTTAAATATGTAAATCCAATTCATATATTTAAAATACAAGTTATTGTTTAGATTCAAAGATATACAAATAAGTCATACATACATGCAACATATATTGCAAAATGTATCAAACAGAGTTATATATGAATATTATGACATTCGGTATAGCCAATATTTATGAAGTCCAAGAAACATTTGCAGGTTTTGATGAATAGGCTACTTTATGATACTTTATATTTAAGTACAGTCATTTTTTTTTACTTTTTAAGAACAGTGCCATTTTTATTTACCTTTTAAAATCACATTTTAATTTAAACGTTGATATTTTATTTACCTGTGTGTTATTGTTTAAACTATTTATTATGTATAAAGTGGCTGGCAATAATAAATATACATAATAAGAGGAATTAATCTGCCACGTTTGTGAACTGTGCAGAGCTGTAGCCGCTTATTTAGGCATACTATGTATTTCAACACCGTACTATGTATACTAGGCACATGGTGGTACTTGGAAAGACAATTTTTTTTGAGGTTGTACATGGTGAAAAAAGTTTGAGAACCACTGTTCTATACTTATTTATTTATCAGTTCACAATAGTTATAACTGTACAGTATTAACTATAGTGAACTGATAAATAAATACTGTATTTTAACTGCAAAAAAATGTAATGCACTCTACCACTTTAATAAACACATACCTTGAATGAACTATTTGAAATAATTATATATATATATATATATATATATATATATATATATATATATATATATATATATATATATATATATAAATCATTATTATTATTATTATTATATTAATATACCTCCTCAATATATTTTTGTTTCCTTTGCAAAACTTGTTGAAGGTGATATTCTCAATATTACTTTTTTCACATCTACTTTTTCACTTGATCAAAATTACAATTTTATCTGAATTAATTAGTTTGGGTGATTCATACATGGTTATTCAAACACTACAGTAACCTAAACAAAATACCCAATTGTACGACCTTCTATAAAGCTATATTTGCCCTTGTTCTGGAGAAAAACTGAAATAGAATTTATATTATATCATTATATTATATACATTATATATACATAAATAAAAAATATAAATAAAATTTTTTTAAAAAGTTTATTTTATATTTGTGCGTCGCGTCATTATAGCTGATATAATGAGACGCGCATTTTCTGTTGCTTTCTGCTGTTTTCGATGTACAGTATTACAATGTTACATTGTGGTAAGTATTTATGCTACTACTGTCATCACCTGTAAAATAATAATAACTTTAATCCAACGGTTTGTATTGATTTATACATATGCAGAGCGTCAAAACAAACCTTTCTTCAGCTGAGCTGCCGACTGAAGGAGAAGCAGGTTTATGACGTCACCGCACAACCCCAAAATAAAAGTCTTATAAACAGCTTACAACATAAATGTTGCTTTCGTTTTGTAAAAACTTCTGGCATGCATGCATATCAATGTCAAACTGCATATTGAATATGTACTTGTAATAAATTTGTGGTTGTAGAGGGAGCTCATATGTAAATGTCCAAAAATTCTATTTCAGTTTTTCTCCAGAACAAGGGCAAATATAACTTTATTTCAATAGACGGGTATTTTTTTTAGGTTACTGTAGTGTTTGAATAACCGTGTATGAATCACCCAATCAAATTAATTCAGATAAAATTTTAATTTTGATCAAGTGAAAAAGTAGATGTGAAAAAAGTAATATTGAGAAAATCACTTTCAACAAGTTTTGCAAAAGAAACAACAATATATTATGGAGGTCAATAATTAGCGTGAAAAGAAATATAATCTGAAAATGGATGGGATAATGAATAAAACAAACTGTTGCCTGCAACATCTTGCCGTAATTGACAGACTTAAACAGCAGATCATCATCATCCACATGAAGAAATACTATAGTAATTCATAATAAATACTGAACCAGAAAATTGATCTGTTGTGGTAATTAATTGTTGCATGGCAGAAACTATTAATATTTTAAAAAACGATATTGTATAAACAACACTGTACTGCAGTTTTTTAGTTCACTGTATGCTGAATTATACATTAACAATTGTAGATGTATTTTAATACACTTTAAATACTTTTACTATGATTCAAAAACAATATTAAACAATAAATTACAATGGTATTTGTTATACGTGGTGGGCACCTATCAAAATCCCACGATTAAGTCAAGGTCTTGGAGTTTGACTCTGTCCTGTCTTTTTGAGCCTCTGCTCTCCTATTTACTCTGGTAAACCACATCTCACCGATGTAAATAAAGACGCGACGTGTTTTGAGATGACATGAACATGAGCGGTGACACTGGCCAATCACAGCCGTCTCCAGTCAGAGCCACGGATGATCTGCCGTCAAACTGCAGGTGAAACTGAAGATTGAATGTTAATTAGTTCAGGTGCGACGCCGATTCAGGTGGCTGTGTACCAAAGGTTACAATTCTTAATCATCGGTGAGTACAAGGATGATTTTTTTTCTGATAATTTCTGTGATGTTTTCATGTATGTCTACATTAGAAGTTTGTTTATATTTGGTAAGTTTTACATTTAATCTCGGTCTGGATTTACAGTTTAGCGAGCGTCGTGTTTGACAGGTTTTTCTGGTTTGTTTACTTGGTTCTTTATGTCTGTGTTTCTGAAGTGTTTTAAATGTTCTTTAAAGCCTAAACAAATCACTGTCATAGTTTAATACTGTTATAAATGAGTAAATAAAATGATAATCTGACATTACATAAAGGATCAGTGAATGTCCACTAAGAATTTTTAATTTTCCCCAATGACAGATAGAGGTAAAGTTGGTTTTATATTGGCACATTCAGATTTTCCCCTTAATAATATAATTTCATAAAAGTATTATTTGCAAACTAAACAGTAAAATCATATTAGCAGCCGGCTATCAAAGTACAACATTGTTCACAGTTAAATAAACAGTGTTAATGTTGTTTTCAAGTCACACTTGCATGCTAATTCCAATCAAATATTCAAATTAACATGGTAAACAATATAGAGACTTCTAAATGAACGAATGTGAGAATATAAAACCAACTTTACCTCTATCAATGACAGTTACAGCAGCTAAAGAGAAACTCAAATGGTAAATAAAGAGACAGAAACCCAGTAAAAAATTTGTTTACTGCAATGTGTAATTTAATATTTCTGCTCCCTCTGAATTTCACTCATAATGATAAAGACAACAACGGGAAAGTCTTTCAGACGGCAAACTTTAAAATGTGTAAATATGTTAACTGTATGTGTTAACAAATTTTAAAAGTTAATTTGTGAAAAGTTTTAACGATTAATCAGTTTCTAATGAAATTAGTTCTCTCCAAAGTACTTTATTGTTTAATTAAATATCCTAAATTCAGCAGACATCGACTTTGACGGTAATTGTATTTCTATTGAAGGATTTTGAAGTGTTTTGTTCATCCTAAAATTTAAATTGGTATTAGTTTACTCATCATTCACTTGTTCACAGTCTATTTGAATTTTTTTCCTTCTGTTGAACATAAAAATAGTGGTAAAGTTGGTTTTATATTTGCACATTCGGACTTTAGCTTTAATAATATAATTTCATAAAAGTATTATTTGCAAACTCTAAATACTGAAATCATATTAGCAGCAAATGAATATCAAAGTACAACATTGTTCAGTCAAATAAACAGTGCTAATGTTGTTTTCAAGCCACACTTGCATGCTAATTCTGATCAAATATTCAAAGTAACATGGTAAACAATATAGAGACTTCTAAATGAACGAATGTGCGAATATAAAACCAACTTTACCTCTATAACATAAAATAAGTTATTTTGAAGAATGCTGGCACACACTAAAATCATAATATTTTTTATTTCCTACTGTGGAAAACTATGGGTGCCATCAGTCAGCTTTCTTCAAAATATCTAATTTTGTGTTCAACAGAAATAAGAAATTAAGAGGTTTTGACAAGTGATGGATAAAAAAAAAATCAATAAAATAAAAAGGATTTAAATTTTTTGGTGAACTATCCGCTTAAGCAACCACCCTTTACATTACTGAATGTAAAAAAAACACTGTGTAACTTTCAGACTGTGATATCTTTCAAAAAAATCCATTCAAAAAGCTCTTCCGTGTTTATACCCGTTTGTGTTAGTTTCTGAGCTCAATCAAGGAAATAAACCAGAAAAAAATTCCATGTCAAAGAATGCTGCACGTCTTCCCCGCCCTCATTTTATGTAACCAAAAGTAGTTGAAGTTTGTTTTAACAATAAAAGTCATTTCAAACTCCTGAAATAATCTTCAAATAAACTTTATTTTTGGCTTTATATTGTTTAATATCTTATATATTGTTT